AAAAAAAAATTTTTTTAAAAAAGGGAAGAAAAAAAAGAGATTTGTTAGCTCATTTGGCAGTTTGTAGGATATAATTGCTCCTTTACACCTTAGAGATCTTTGACAGCTGATCTACCCAATGCAGTATATCTTAAATTTCTTGACTCCTGCTTTACCAAGTATGATTTTATTTTTCTCCAGGGCCTGGTTCCTTTTGATAATATGTCCAAAGTAGGTAAGATGTACTTGATCTCTATTTCAGGTATCTCTTCCTCAGTAGTTTATCTATTGTCTTTTCTGTAGATTACAGAAAATTATCCTACCAAGCCCAAGGTGGGTGATTTTAATCTGCTGTTCTCAGGCCTGGTTTAAATTGTTTATGCCAAACATTTCTTCTACATGGTATAGCACTGATCTGTGCATTGCTGTACAGAGGTAACTCGTGGTTGCTGTGATGCTAAACACTGTGACACTGATGTGTCAAATGAGAGAATGGTTACCCATGGTGGACAGTGTTTGGTGGAGCTCCCTGATTAAAACAAGCTTGGAAGCAGGAGTGGCATCCACTTCCCAAATGGCTTGCCTCCAGAAAATCTATGAACAGTTCTCAGGTCTTTCATTCATAGGGTCACTATGAGTCATCTACGGCTTAACAGTACTTAACAACAACAATACGTAAACCTGTATAAACTAAAATTTTTAAAAAAACCTACAGTATGTTGAATGCGTGAACGGAAAACCAACTTGCTTTGTAAACTTTCATTTTAATCATGACAAAAACAAACAAAAATGAGTGGAAATGTATGGTGCTATCTTAACCTGTCCTACAGGATAACTGTGAATCAGAACTGCATTGATAGTAGAAATAATAACTGGTTTATTTTTAGAAATAATTAGACAAAGTATAACAAATACAAAAGGAAAAGATGATAATAAATGCTTTCTAAAAAAGGACACTATTTTTGTAATGCCTTTCTGATAGCCACCTGTGCATTAGTTTGAGGTGCTGACTTCTAGTCTAGCTTGAGAAGGACTTCCACCATGCCCTCTTTCTTAGACAACAATATATAATGAGCATATGAAGCCAAGCTTGGTCGGTGTATTGATTTTTTTTTAGTGTCATAAAGAGACACATAATAAAACATTAGCCAATTCAACAATTTTTACATACACAATTCAGTAACATCACATTGTATTACTGTCACCATAGTTGTTGTTAGATGCCGTTAGATGAGTCAAGTATGACTCATAGTGATGACAAATCTGACCCTGGTCCTGTCTTGTGCCATCCTTATCATCTCTACACACTTGAATCTAGTGCTGCAGTCACTCTGCCAATCCATCCTTAGTTAAGGGGCTTCCTCTCATTTGTTGACTTCCCACCTTTTCAAGCATGATATCCCTCTTCAAGGATTAGCCTCTCCTGGAAACATGCCCAAAGTATGAGAGAAGAAGCTTTATCATCTTTGTCTCCAAGAAGCACTCCGGCTGTACCTTCTCAAGACATATCTATTTGTTCTTTTGACAGGCCATGGGATGGATATGCACTACTATCTCCAACACCACAGCTCAAAGCCATCAATTCTGTTATCCTTGTCCACTGTCCAGCTCTCAGATGCATAGCTCTCAGTTGATTGAAAAGATCTATATTCTGAACCCCGTGCATCTCAGTCTTCATTTTTACATCATTGCTTCTCAGTAACAGATTTGTCCAGTGCAGTACATCTCTTAATTTCCTGACTGCTGGTACCAAGGATGTTGATTTGAAGAGCCAAGTAGATTAACATTGACAATTTCAATCTTTTCTCCTTCTGTCATGACGCTGCCTATCATCAGTTCATTGGTGAGGATTTTTGTCTTTTGATATTAAAATGTTCTATCTATATTTAAGGCTATATTCTTTGATAAAATATAATGGCTCCAGGATAGAATACCGACTGAGGTGTTTCAGGTAAGATACGCAACCCTGAACGTGCTCACTAGTCTATGGAATTTCACTCCAAAGGTGGCTCAAGTGTAGGGGAACAGAACGGGATCCAAGCACTATGAAACTTGCGTGTGGAATCTGCATAGGGGCACCGGAGTGACTGAAGGATCAGGGAACCGCGTGCGGGTGTGGGGCAGTGTGCAGGGTGTCACTACTGCATGGTGGCGTTTGGCAGTGTGTGGGATCCATGTGCCACCTGAGAGCAAGGGGTGCCTGCCGGATCCAGGGGGTGCGGAGCTGCATGTGAGGTGTCATTACTGAGTGGGGATGCTGGGCAGTGCGTGGGATCCAGCTGCTGCGTGGGGACGCGGGGGTGACTGTGGGATCCAATTACTGCATGTGGGCAGGAATGGGGCTCAGGTGACTGCGATCCCCTGGCGTCACGTGGGGGTGCGGGGTGAGTGTGGGATGATTGCCACATGGGGCGGGGGCAGCGTGCGGCACCCCTGAGCAGCGTGGGGGCGCCTGCGGCGGCAGCTGGGAAGGACGGGGCGGGATCTGCGCGGTGCGGGCAACGCAGGCAGGGTGGGAGGAGCGGGCGCGACGGGCGGAGCGGTGGCGGAGGCGGCGGCAGGTGGGGAGCCTTGGGTCCGAGCCCTTTGGGGTTAGAGCTCTGGTGTTTGGGACCCGGGCTCGGGCTCGGTGGAACGGCCTTCTGGCGGCGGTGACGTATCGAGGTGCGTGGGGCTGCTTCTTCAGGGCGAAAGGCCTAGGCGCCGCTGCCTCCGGCGGACTTGCAGATCCGCCTTGGCAGGAGGGAAGGTGTGGGGAGGCAGTCGCAGCTGGGAGAGGCTTGGTGGCCGCCTGGGCCACGCCTGGCCAGAGGGTCCTGGTGAGCTGGCCCTGGACCTCCTAGGAAGCCTTGAATTCCGCTGAGTTCTCATACACGATCACGGAGTGGTTCCAGGTAGCAGGGTGATTCCTAGTTCCTCTACCTGGAGCTGACTCCTCCTCACCCTGTAGGGGCCCTGTTGCTCTCTGTGTCCAGATAGACTCCCTCCCCCCTACCCAGGGAGCAAACAGCCCTTCCACTCCCCCCAACCCCACCCACACCCTACTGCGCCCCTAGGACTGTAGAGCTGACCCCCAGGTGCTAAGAACCCAGACAGGTAAGTGGGCTGGAGGGAGGCGGAACTGAAGGCCGACCTGCACCAGGCCAGACAGCCCGTCATTCTGTCACTCTGGCCCAAGCAGGTGTTGGCTGGCTCGGTGCCTCTCCTCTGCCCACCATGGCTCGGGGACTGCCCAGTGCCGCCTCCCTGGCACATCTCTGCAGGAAGCTGAATCGGCTGAAGCCACTGGAGGAATCTACCATGGCCACGTCGTTGCATCGCTGCCTGTCCACGCTGGACCTGACGCTGCTGGGTGTGGGGGGCATGGTGGGCTCAGGCCTCTATGTACTCACTGGGACTGTGGCCAAGCAGATGGCCGGCCCGGCTGTGCTGGTCTCCTTCGCCATGGCCGCTGTGGCCTCTCTGCTGGCTGCCCTGTGCTATGCAGAGTTTGGGGCAAGGGTGCCCCGCACAGGCTCTGCCTACCTGTTCACTTATGTGTCCATGGGGGAGCTGTGGGCCTTCCTCATCGGCTGGAATGTGCTCCTTGAGTATCTCATCGGTGGCGCTGCAGTGGCACGAGCCTGGAGTGGTTACCTGGATGCCATCTTCGGCCACCAAATCCGAAACTTCACAGAGGAACGCCTGGGTGTCTGGGAGGTGCCCCTGCTGGCCAGCTCCCCAGACTTCCTGGCTGCAGGCATCCTGCTTGTGGCCTCAGCCTTCGTGTCCTGTGGCGCCCGAGTCTCTTCCTGGCTAAACCATGCCTTCTCAGCCATCAGCCTGGGCGTCATCCTTTTTATTATCACGTTGGGGTTTTTCCTGGCTCGCCCGCACAACTGGAGCACTGAGGAGGGAGGCTTTGCACCCTTCGGATTCTCGGGCATCATGGCTGGCACTGCCACGTGTTTCTATGCCTTTGTGGGCTTTGATGTCATTGCTGCCTCCAGTGAAGAGGCCCGAAATCCGCAGAGGGCAGTGCCCATGGCCATTGCCATCTCTCTTAGCCTGGCAGCTGGTGCCTACATTCTGGTCTCTACTGTGCTGACCCTCATGGTGCCCTGGCACAGCCTCGACCCAGACTCGGCGCTGGCAGATGCCTTCTTTCGGCGTGGCTATCGCTGGGCTGGCTTCATCGTGGCAGTCGGCTCCATTTGCGGTGAGTGGTCTGACGGGGTAGGATGAGAATAGGCAGGGGGAAAGGACAGTCTTCTGTCCTGAGTATTTTCCATTTGGACCCCAGTTTTACCAACTGTATAATAGGCCCAGGAGGGAGGGTTGTAATCAGTCACTCGGGAATCTGTTGTCCATTCCAGCCTGTTGGGAAGGCCCTTGTCAAGCTCACTCTGTCCTCCTGCAGTCCAACTTAGAATGTCAAGTCTGGGCATTTGCTTACAGACCCTTTCCTGGGCAGAGGGACTTGCTGTTATCAAATCCGATGGCTAAACTACAGTGTCCGGTCCTTGAGCAAGAGTGTCCATGTCCATGTTACCAAGATCTCCAGGCTTTCCTGCCATGCTGACCAACCCCACTCTCTACCACAGCCATGAACACGGTCCTGCTCAGCAACCTCTTCTCACTGCCACGTATCGTTTATGCCATGGCCACTGATGGGCTCTTCTTCCCACTGTTTGCCCGCGTGCATCCCAGGACACAGGTGCCCATGGCAGGCATCTTGGTGTTTGGGGTCCTCATGGCCCTCTTGGCATTACTTCTGGACCTCGAGGCACTGGTCCAGTTCTTGTCCATTGGCACACTGCTGGCCTACACCTTCGTGGCGGCCAGTGTCATAGTACTACGCTTCCGGAAAGCTGCTCTGCCCGACTCCCAGGGCCCATCCAGCCTGGGTGCCCTGACCAAGAGGCACAGCTCCTTCTCAGATCACCTTCAGCTGGTGGACCCTGAAAATGCCTCAGCCCCTGAGCCTGGGCAGCTGCGACCAGCCCTGAGACCCTACCTGCACTTCCTCAGCTGGTGCAGTCCAGGAACAGCGGTGGTATGGGCACTGGTCATTCTGGTGGCATCAGCCATTGCCTTGGGCTGTGTGCTGGTCTTTGGTGGTTCAGCCCTGCACCTTCCTCGGTGGACCTATGTCCTACTGCTTCTGCTTAGCAGCAGCATGTTTCTACTCAGCCTCCTCGTCCTGGGAGCCCACGAGCAACAACACAGGCAGGATACCTTTCAGGTACTTCTCCCCCAGCCAGCACCCCTAAACCCAGCCCAGCTTCCTTCCGCGGCCCCCAGCCCAGCTGCCTTCTGCAGCTTCCAGCCCAGCTGGATTCCACAGCTCCAAGTCCAGGGGTTTCCACACCACTCAGCCCAGCTGGCTTGCATGGTCCCAAGTCCAGGAGTTTTCACTCCCATAAAATCTGCCACTGTGATATGTATTCCCCATCTGTCTGCATGGTGAGCAGGAAGGGTATCTCCAAAATCACCAAGCCAGCTGCTGTAGAGTTGATTCTAATACATGGCAACCTGCTGCATGCAGCAGAGAGCTGTGCACCATTGTATTCTCAAGTTTGTTTTGACAAAAGCTAAGCCTTTCTTCCTTAGCAACTCTGGGGTGTTTGTTTTTCAATTATCTGCTCCCAAGCACACTTAACTGTTTGTACCACCCAGTACATCCTCAGATTCTCCAGAAGGATGCTAGTGTTTCATGAATGCAGACCCCTGGCTGACAGAGCTTTGTCCCCTCAGATCCCAGCCCCACCCTTGTCCCCTCAGATCCCCTTGGTGCCCTTGACTCCAGCCCTGAGTGTCCTCCTCAACATCTGCCTCATGCTGAAGCTGAGCTACCTGACCTGGCTGCGCTTCTGCATCTGGCTGCTGGTCGGTGAGTAGAGCCCAGTGGGATCCTGGGGTTCAAAATGTTGCCTGGCTGCAGGAGGAGGTGAGCAGGGTAGGAGAACTGGCCTTCAGGCTTTGTACACCCCTGCAGGACTCGCTGTGTATTTTGGCTACGGCATCTGGCACAGCAAGGAGAACCTGCGGGAGCCGCTGGGACTGACCACCACACGCTACGTCATGTTCCCCAGTGGGAGCCTGGAGGAAACTGTACAGGCTGTGCAACCCTCCAGCCAGCCCCCTGCCCCGGAGCCCAGTCACATGGAACAGCCTGACAGCCCGTGAGGCCAGCCACTACTGCCCAGGTTTTGCTCTGCCTCTCCCACCTCCAAGAGAGAGGTCCTTAAGTCCTGAGGACGTTAGTCCTCTTACTGAACTTTGGGTCTCAGGGAATAGAGCCTGTGGCCACAGCTTTGGACTGTTTGCCTAGCATGTTCCAGATGTGACCAAATTGAGAAGGTGGAAGAGGGCTGCAGTTTGAGCCTAACTGCAATAACAACTGTTCGGCCGCCTCCTGTGTCCACTAGCCTGTTCTTTGCGGCATCTGAGTACTTAACCACCCCTTGGGAACCACGGGTAGCCTAGGTCCTGGGCGTCTCCTCCTGGGCCAGTGCTTTCCACTCATCTCTGTGAGGAACCTCTGCTTGCACCTGGAGCAGCCTACTTCTTGAGAGAACTCTAAGGGAGGCCTCTGAAAGGATGGGAAAGGCTCCCCTTCCAGGCTCCCACATGTTTCCTGGAGGGGAAATCTGAGAGGGAGAGGTCAGAACCCAAGGAGGCCGCCTGGAAAACTAGGATTTTCTTGGTTCTGCACCTAAGTCTGAATTCCAGGATTCCTAAGGGAGCATGTACCTATAGCCCTCTCAGAGCCACCAGGGCATCACCACATTGCTGTACACCCCCACAGACACCTGGCCTGGGCCACAAGACTGTCTGGAAGTGCACACTCAGGGTTTCCAAACTCTGCTCCCTGTTTGGGCTCCTTCCTGACCATAGCTTTCCAAGACCAGGGCTCACTCTTCTAACTCCACCTGCCAGCCAGAGGCCTGGAGGCAAAGGGACACACGTGAAGTGTACATGTGACCGGACTTGTCCCATGTAGATTCCAAGTCACCTGGTAGCTATGAGGCTTGTTTCCAGGTCTCTCCTGCACCCCAGACTCCACATGGCTGTCACATCTCCTGCAGAAGCCTCCCCATTCCCTTCTGCTTTGCAAAGACAACACATGAAACTGGCAGCTTTGGCAGGCTTTACTTCTCAACTCTTCAGTCACAACATCTGATGGTGCTCTTCCTCCAGAACCTGCTCTCTCAGCCTTTTCCTCTGGGCCTGCCTCTCCAGAGATGCTTTTCTGGGGACTCAAGCAGCAGGAATCCAAGGGCTTTGTCAAGGCGCTAAGTGTTAGGTGCTGGTCCTCACATGTCCCTCCCTTGGCCCCTTGATCTGGTCCATGCACAAGCAAGCAGCCAGCATCTGTCTGGTCTCCAGGGACCCCAGGAGAGAGCAGGTTCTCACTTTCCAGAGAAAGGAGCATCCCCATCTCTGCCTATTGCCTCAAGACTAAGTGTGAGCTTTGCCTCTGTGGCCCGAGAGAATTCTCCAGACAGTGGACCAAAGCACAGGAAAAATTTCTGAGCTAGCTCTCTCAACCAGCTGTGGAGGCTTTGATTGGTGACATGGTTCTCAACTAGAGTTTTGCTGAAAGTCAAGGGTACCTGAGCCAGGCAGGCTCCCAGACAAGGTTCAGATACACCTGCTGTCCATTCCTAGGGTTCCTGGAAAGTCTGATGGGCAGATTTGAGGGGTTAGAACTAGGGAGTTAGAAACGAGGAGGTCCAGAAGGATGTCACTCCACACCTGGGCCTCCTTGCCACATAGTCTCCATCTCCTGAGGCTGTCATTAGGAAGTGGCCAGTGGTCAGCAATGAGCATCAGCAATGCCCACGCTTTGCCTGGGATCCTGGAGGGCACCCCAGCTGCTTCCTCATTCCATGGCTGAGGCAGACCAGCCCTGGAGCAGTGGGAACCTCCCAGCATTTTTTCTGAGGCCACATTAAGCCAGTAAAGGGCCAAGGAGTGAGGACCTCCATGTGATGCCATCTGCAGCATTGGTGGGAGGGCCTGCGTCCCACACCTGGTGCACGGCTGCTGGAGAGGCTGCCTTTCGACAAAGTAGCTGCTTCTGGGCCTTCAGGCAGCTGCCGGTCTGGGATGGGATTGGGAGCAGAGTCTGCCTGGGAGCTCCCCTGCCTCCAGCCTTAGCTCTGCTGGATTTGAATCTGAGGGCCCTGGGGCAGGACCTCTGCCTTTCCATATCCCCGTCCAGCCGAGAATAGCTGTGAGCTTCAGGAAGGAGACAGCGAGGGAGCCCCATTGGTGTCAGCACCTAGACAGGGCCATCCTGGGGTTGGTGCAGGGCCCTCTGCAACAGTGGCAGGGGCTGGTGCTGGACCAACTAAGAGGGTGCTGAATACCAGCTTGTTGCACATGGAGTTGGCCGTCACCTTGGGAGCCTTCGCCTGCAGAGGAGGGCAGCAGGTCAGGGTTGGGGGCACTGTGCAGTCACACCAGGTCACCCACATCTCACCTCCTCGTACTTGGTCCTCCAGTAGAAACGGGCTTCTCTGTCCACATAGAGCAACAACAGGTCACAGAAAAAGGTGACCTGGAAGAGAAGAGCAGAACTGTGACCCAGGCCTCTCCGGCCTCCTGGACACTTCCCAGCCATCACTTGGAGACGTGATGGCAGGCGGGACACACAGGCACCAGCATTCTGTCCCTGCAAGTGGGTGCTCTGAGCGGTCATACTCACCACACCCAGCCACGCCACTCCAGTGCCCAGGGTGACAGCTGTGGGGATGATCCCGAACTTCCCTGCCTAAGAGAGTCCCAGGTGAGCCCTGGGCACCTCAGCCCTGTCCACCTGTCCCCTATTCCCCTGGCCTCGCCCTACCTGGCCCGTGACGAGGATGTCAAATCTAATTCCATAGAGCTTGAGCAGGCTTCGGGCCTCCACGTCAGGGCCCTCCCACCAGTGAGTGGCTGTCCTGGGGCAGAAAAAGAGTGCTCAGAAGATGAGCTCTACCCAGTAAGTCCAGAGTTGAGACACTTTTAGGTTTCTTATTGTTCTGTGGAGTAGGAGGCAACCCATAGCTGACCCTTCAGTGGGCTTTCAGAGGTAATAAATCATACAGGAGGAGATTTTCCATCCTCCCACAGAGCAGCTGGTTCATTCAAACCATGTGCCTTTGGGATTATAGTGCAGCTTCTTAACACCAGGCCACCAGACCTCCCTACGTAACTGCTTGTTGTTGCTATGTGTTGATGGGTAGGAACCAACCCCTCACTGATCTTCCCACTGACCTCTAGTGGGTTTTCAGAGGCAGTAAATTGTGCAGAAGGAGACTGCCCATCCATCTCCTGTGGAACAGCTGGTGAGTTTAAACTGCATGCTTTTGGGATTGCAACATAGCTTCTTAGCATTAGGCCACCAGCACTTCTGAGTTATACGGAGCTCTGCTGGCCTAGTGGTAAGGAGCTGCACCGAAATTCCGAAGGCACGTAGTTCAAATCCACTAGCTGCTCCACAGGAGACAGGTGGGCAATCTCCTCCCCTATGATTAATTGCCTCTGAAAACCTGATCAGCTATGGTTCCAACGTGATGGTACACAACAACAGAGACACATAGTGGAATGAGAACAAATGGGAAGTCAGATACCACATGGAGATCCCAAGGACTCAGGAACAGAAGAGCTAGAATGAAAGGAACAAGACCCTGCTCAGGGTCCACAGAGAGAGCTCCCCCAGCTAATGTCCTGCATTTAAACTTATAGGACCTCAACGGTGAGAAAATGCCCTTCCACTCATTGGAATCACCCACGGTGGCATTTCTGCTGTAGCAGCACTGGGAGGCTGAGACAGGGTGACAATAGGAAGTGGTCATCTCGGGAAGGCCCTTAGACTCAGGAGAGATGAGGTAGGGCGATGTGAAAGGAGTGAGTATCTGAGTGTCTGATACTTCCTTTCAAACATTGTCATCTCAAACCTAGCTCAAGAGAGGAAGTTCTGGTGCCTAGTTGTAAGAAGCTGAGCTGCAAACCCAAACGCACATGATTCAAATCCACCAGCTGTTCTGCCGGAGTAAGATGGGCGATCTCTGCCTGTGTGGTTTCCTCCCTCTGAAAACTTGCTGAAGAGTCCGTTACAACTCAATGGCACACAACAACATGTAAACAGACCCACTTAACGCTGTGAAGGGAGGGCACAGATGTGTACAGGATAAAAGATGGAAGGATCCGACGGATGGACATTTGGGGCACTAATAAGTGATCTTTTCTAGCATTTCTTTGAAATGTTTTCTATAAATTCTACAAGGAAAGTCAAAAGGAAAGCCCCCTCTGGGATGGAGGCAGGAGACTGGAGGCAAAGGGGAATCAGGGATGGAGTACGGGTACAGGGAGGGGAGGACACCGTGCTCAGGAGGGAGCCCCCTGGCTCCTCCTACACTGTCCAGCATACTGCAAGACACATCCAAGAGGCTGGCCCGGTGTGGGCTGCCCCCGCTGCAAGAAGGAAACCAGCACAGGGGAACCTTGGCTGGGGCCCGGCAGGCCTGGGTCTGGTCCCGGGAAGGATGCAGGGCACACCTGAAATTGTAGCTGCGCTCCTGCAACTGGAAGGAGTAGTGGGGTCGGCAGTCCGAGCTCCAGGCGTCCAGCTCACACTTCCAGTGGATGTGGATTCCCACAGCACCACCCTGCACACATCACATTACTGCCCCATTAGTGACATGGCCAGGGACCTCTACCTACACCCTCTCAGATCCCTGGCCACAGACCCACCAGCAAGGCCAGGTCCTCAAAGGCCCCGCCCGCGGCCTGCACCAGGTCACCGATGCGGAACACAGGGCAGTACGGGCTGGCTGTTGGGTCATAGCGGCAGCACTTGAAGTAGGTGGCATCCCAGGTCTCTAGTGTATTGGACCTGGAGGGGACAGAAGTGGCAGTCATACACAGTGGTGTACTGGACACAGGCTCTGAGACCAGCCAGGATTCCTATGCTCACTTGGAGAAGTTGAACTTGCTGAAGGTGACAGTGTTTTTGATGAAGAGTGTGAAGTTCTCAGCCTGGGCCAACAGGGGTTTCCTGGGGGCAGAGAGATGGGGTGAAGGCAGGCCTCAGTGGACCTGGGGTCCCGTGTGGCCACGAGTCAACTCACCGAGGCGCTTCACCATTCTCCACCGGGCACCAGCTGTAGATCTCACAGGTGCTGTGCGTCCCGTTGAACACCACACACCGGCCTGTTTTGAAGCCTTTGGAAATAAGATAAATGCGAGACTCTCAAGTCTCTTCAGGGCCTTCGAAGGGGTCAGGAGAAATGTAGGGACACAGGGCTCAGCCAGGCCTGCTCCCAGGAGCCCTCCACACCAGGACGACCGCAAGTCCAGCCCCCCCAAAGAGAACCCTGGGAGAATCCCCCAGTACCATGACTGTGCGTCCCCATCTCTCCTTCAGGGCAGTCCTTGTCTGTCCAGCAGGCCGCGAGTGGGACAGAAGGGTGCTAGGGGGTTCCAGAGAACAGAGTCACCAAGAGTCCAGGAGGGTAGGTAGTCCAGCCTCACTCTACCCTCACCCTGAAGGGCACACTGAGTTGGGACACAGAGGAAGAAAGGAGTGTGCAAAGAAGAAGAGGCGATGTGGAGAAGTGAGGCCCCGGAGCCCTCTCCTCCTCCCCAGGCTCTACCTCCAGCAGGAGCCAAACCTAAAGACTAAACCACTTGCATTTGAATCAGCTCTGACTGCTAACGACTGTGCCATGGACTTTCACTAGCTGAATTTTTGAAAGCCGGTCTCCATGGTTTTCTTCTGAGGTGCCTCTGGTTGGCCTTGAGCCTCCAACCTCTCCATTCGTAACTGAGCATGTTAACCATATACAGCACCAAGGGCAGGGGGAGTGAGGAGTTGTGGCCCAGATTGTCCGACTGCAAGCAGATGGACAGAGGGAGTGAAGCATCCAGAGGAGGGGGGTGTGTGGAGGCATCAGGTGTGGTGGGTGAGGAGCCTGGACCCTGGAGTCTGGGAAGCCTGGGCAACAGTGTATGGAGGACCTCTCAGCCTATTTGCTTGGGGACCAGGTTATTCCCTCCCATGTGCCCTCTGGAGACCAGGGACATGCATTCCTGCAGAGAGTCACATGTACTCTGGGATCAGCCACAAGGGAATCAAATGTAGAGTAGAAGGTGCTCAGACTGAAATCTGGAAGACAACTACTTGCCCAACTGACTGGAAGAGATTCATATTCCTTGTCATTCCAAAAAAAAAAAAAGGTGGCCTGACAGAGTCTGGAAATTATAGAACAATATCACTAATATCACACACTATCAAAATCCTGCTGAAGATTATCCAGAGATGACTGAGAACTACCAGAAAGCTGAGTTTAGAAGACTTTGTGGCACTAGGGACATTATAGCCAACATCAGATGGATCTTGGCAGAAAGCAGAGGGTCAGAGAAATGTCTATATGTTTTTCATTGACTATGCAAAGGCATTTGACTGTGTGGATCACAACAAACTGTGGCTAGCCTTGAGGAAAATGGGAATCCCAGAACACTTTATTGTGCTCATGTGAAATCTATACTTGGACCAGGAAGCAGTCCTCAGAGCAGAGCAGAGAAGCACTGCATGTTTCAAAATCAGGAAAGGAGTGCATCAGAGATGCATCCTGTCTCCATACCTTTTCAATCTGTATGCAGAACAGATCATCCAGGAAGCAGGGCTTTATGAGAAGGAATGTGGCATCAGGATTGGAGGAAGACTCATCAACAAACTGTGTTATGCATATGACACAACCTTGCTTGCTGAAACTGAGGAGGATCTGAAGCGCTTGCTACAGAAGGTCAAGGGTTGTAGTCTTCAATATGGATTGAAGCTCAACATCAAGAAGAAAGAGATTCTTACCACTGAGCCAATTGACAGCAATTACAGCTTGCTGGGCTCCACAATCAATACTCTTGGCACCAGCAGTCAGGAAATTAAAAGACGAATTGCATTAGGTAAATCTGCTGTCAGAGACCTCTCCAGAGTGCTGAAAAGCAACGATAGTCTAGAGACTAAGGTGTGCCTAATCCAGGCCATGGGTTTTACAATTACTTGCTATGCATCAGAGAGCTGGAAAATGACTAAGGATGACAGAAGAATTGATGCCTTCGAATTGTGGTGCTGGAGAAGAGTCTTAAACATACCATGGACCACCAAGAAAAGAAACAGGTCTGTCTTTGAGAGGCTGAAACCAAGTCTCTCCTTGGAAGCTGGGATTTTGAAGCGCTGTCTCACATATTTTGGGCACGTGACCAGGAAAGACAGGTCCTTGGAGAAGGACATCATGCTTAGAAGTGTGGAGGGACAGTGCAGGAGAGGAAGACTCAGGATGAGATAGTTTAATACAGTATCTGGGGCAATGGGAGTTGTCATATCGGAATTAGTGAGACTGGCTCAAGAAAGAGCATGGTTCAGAGCTGCTGTACATAGGATCACTATGGGTTGCAGGTGACTCGACAGCACATAATAACAACAATAATTATTATTTAAAGCTTACAAAGCAGAATGGTATTTCATTTAACCATCCATATATATATTGTTTTATGACATTCATTACAATCTCCAAATTGTATCCTCACTCTTCCCACTATCTCTCTGTGGTTTTTGTACCAATTCATCCCTCCCTCCTTTTCCTTTTTACCTTTTTTTATCCTTGGACAAATACTTTTTTTATCCTTGGACAAATACTGCCCTGTGAAACTACACGAATGAAAGAATTCTTAAGTACTAAATACTCCTTTGTGTTATTGTTCTCCTTACAGATGTGTCTATTTTGAGTGGAAAATTGAACAACAGGGTAAATTCAGTTCTAGACTGAAAGAGCAGCTAAGGGCCACACATACGTCTCAGGATTTCCACTAGTTTATATCAGGTCGTCCAATTTTTTTAAATACAATAACTTGTGTATTCCCTCCATCTTCTTTTGATGTTTCCAGGATCATTCAAGATTTTGCCCATAACATTTCTAAGTACTGCAAGTCAAGGTTTGAATTGGTTTTTCAATTCTTTCAGCCTGGAAAATGCTGAGCGAGTTCTTCCCTTTTTAAAAAAATCCTCCAATTCTAGCTCTTTGTACATTCCATTACAGTACTTTGCCTTGTCTTCTCAAGCTGTTTTGTGGGTTTTTTTTAAATCTTCTGTTCAACATTTTTATATCAACAACATCTTTTTCCTTTGTTTTGGCATCTCAATTTTCTAGTGCTATTTTTAGGGTTTCTTCTGACAATCATTTTGATTTTTCTTTCTCCTTTGTCTTTGTAGTAATTGTTTGCTCTCTTCATTGTTGATATCCTTAATATCTTTCTACAATTTATCTGGCCTTCGATCCCTGGTGTTCAATGTTTCAAATCTATTCTTAAGATATTTTTAAATTCAGGTGGAATAAACTCAAGGTCATATTTTGGTTCTTGTGGACTTGTTTTAATTTTTTTTCAGCTTCAGTTTGAACTTGCTCATTGACGTCTTCCCACAGTCAGCACCTGGTCTGGTTTTGATTGCTGATATCGAGCTGCTCCAATGACTTCTTCCACAGAGGTGGTCAATCTGATTGCTGTGCAGTTTATCTAGTGAGGTCTATGTGTAAAGTCAGCTTTTGTGGTTTTTCTTTTCTTTCAAAAGTATTTTTGATGATGTGGAAGGAGCTGGAGTCAGAAAATCAAAGGGGCCGAACTGGCTCAGCATTTCTTAAGCTCAAGGAGCTGAAGAACAAATCCAAGCCATGAGTTGCAATACTTAAGGACGCTTTGGGCAGAATATTAAATGATCAAGGAAGTATTAAAACAAGATGGAAAGAGTATACAGAGTCACTATACCAAAAGGAATTGGTGGACACAGAAGAGTTTCATGAAACAATGTATGAACAAGAGCCTGTGGTGATAAAAAAATTCAAGCTGCCCTGAAAGAATTAGCAAAAAACAAGGCCCCAGGAATTCATGGTATTTGATATATTTCAACAAACAGATGCTTCCCTGCATGTGCTTACCAAGTTCTGCCAAGAAATCTGGAGGACAACCACCTGGCCTACTAAAGAGATCTATATTTGTACCCATTCCAAAGAAAGGTGATCTGACAAAGTGTGGAAATTATTGAACAATATCATTAATATCACATGCAAGCAAGATTCTGCTGAAGACTATCCAAAAACGACTGGAACAGCACATCAACAGAGAACTGCCTGAAGTGCAGGCTGAGTTTAGAAGAGGCCGTGATACTAGGGATATTGTAGCTAATGTTAGATGGATATTGACTGAAAGCAAAGAGTACCAGAGGAATGTCTATCTGTGTTTCATTGACTATGCAAAGGCATTTGACAGTGTGGACCACAACAAACTGTCTCTGACTTTTTGAGAAGAATGGGAATCCCAGAACACTTGATCATGCTTATGTGAAACCTATACTTGGCCCAGTCTTCAGAACTGAGCAAGGGAACACTGCACAGTTAAAATTGGGAAAGGTGTATGCCAGGGTTGTGTCCTATCTCTACACCTTTTCAATCTATATGCAGAACAGATTATCCGGGAGGCTGGACTCTATGAGGAGAAATGTGATATTGCCCATATTTCTCCTTCAGAGAAGCTGCTGGATTTGAACCACCTGTCTTTGGGTTGGTAGTACAACTCCTTATCCCCTAAGTCATCAGAGCTCATGTGTGTGGTTGTTGTTATAACTGACCCACAGCTGACACTCCAGCAGGTATTCAGAAGCAATAAATTGCTCAGGAGATTGTCCGTCCTTCTCCTGCAGAGCAGTTGGTGGGTTCAAACTACAGACCTTTGAGATTGTAGCACAGTGTCCTACCACCAGGCTACCTGAGCTCCTTTTTTATGTATTTATATAGACACCACAATTTCTCCAAGGACAGTCCCTCAGAGAAACTGTAGCATGTGTGTACGTGTGTGTGTGTGTGTGTAAGAGAAAAAAATCCTGGATGAGATGGATTAACACAGTGACTATGCCAATGAAGGCAGGTGTGTCACAGATGGTGAGATTGGCTAAGGATAGGGCAAGGTTCAGAGCAGTTGTTCCTAGGGTCATTACAAATTGTAGTCCACCTGACAGCACATAACACAACAACATCACAATTTACAAAAATAATCCAGCTACCATAAACTAAAATAACCCCAAAACACCTCAAAATCATTGCTGTCAAGTTAGAAGTGACTCAGAACTGACACTGGAGCAGGCTGGGGGGTTGTGGGGATGACTCATCTTTCCCCAGGGCACTGCTGTTGGATTAGAACTGCTGGAGAAGCTCCACCCTCAGGTTAGCAGTGCGGCTCCCTACAGACTACGCCACCAGAGTTCCCTTCCAGCTTCCTGTCCTATGAATTCAAGAAAGGCATCTGTCTGGGCACATCTGGAGAGACGCTCTGCTTTCATGTTAGAGCCTACCTGTGTGTTGTGTGCTGGAGAACAAGCAGAAGAGTAGTAGAGAGGGGCAGGGCCTTTGGGGAAACTGAGCACTCAGAGTCCCAGAACAAGAGCTGGGGCACTGGGGTCAGCAGAATCAAGCCAGCACCCCAGCTCTGTCACCCACAGGCTATGTGTCCTTGGGTAACAATTTGGTTCCTCTAAACCCACATCTGCTCATTTCTACTAGGAAAAAAGTAATTCTGTGCTGTTAAGGATTTACTGTTCAAAATGGCTTCCCTAACCATTGACATTGACTTTGACTTTGTCATGGAATATATGACTTTGACAGGAATATGTGACTTTGACTTTGACAGGAATATGTGAATAGGATGTGAAACTATCCACAAGGGGATTGGTTAGTCTTGTCATTAAAGTGAGCAGATTCAGTGGAAAAGGCTATTCAGAGGGAGAGGCACATCATACTTGAAAAGGTGGAGGGACAGTGAAGAAGAGGAAGCTCTGCAACCAGGTGGTGACATAGTGATTGCAGCAAAGGGATCCAGTGTGTCAGAGATTGTGAGGAATGCACAGGACGGGACAGGGTTCAGATACGTTGTTCGTAGGTTCGCTATGAATTGTGCTTGACTACATAGCACAGCACCTAACAACAACATGACCAGCAAAGAAAAAACAGAGACTGCAGCCCACCCTTCAGGGATCATAGGTTCTTGTGCCAGCAGGTCCTACAGGAGAGCAGCAGCAGGAAGCAGCAGAGAACCAGAGACCCAGCGTGAGATGAAGCTGACTTTGGGACTGCTACCCCATGAACCAGAGCAAGGAGCGTTGGCCCATGTTTGTTGGAGGACTGGGGAGTGGGGGAGAGATGCCATAATTGGAAGGACTGAGTTTTGTGACAGTAGCGTGAAGCCATTGAGCATGCTTCAGAAGCTATCATGAGGAATTACATCATGTTGCCTAATGGAATTATATCCTGTTAACTTCCATAATTAAAAACCCAAATTCACCCACGTGAGTATGATTGTGTGTTTTATGAACTAGTGCAATGGATTTGGGACTTAGCAGAGTAGTGAAATTGGTGCTGGAATTAGTAGTAAGAGATGCGGGAGCATAGGGGACATGTCTGATCTCACGGGAATTGGTTTTGTGCTGCGGTTGGTAACAGTGGAGACAGTTCCTCATTGAGTAGTGGTGAGGTCAGATATGGTCAGATACATGCTCGTTTTACACATTCCTACCACAGATGTTGTTTGCAAAGATGAAGTACAAAGAGTCACAGAGAAAGTTAGCCCAGTGCGTAGGATATATGAAAAATAATGAGCTCATGGTCACATGGGAAAGAAAAGAGGACATGACTGGGGGTGGCAGGAGTGTCCAGGGGAGGATTCCAGCAACCTTACCTCTGGGCACCTGCCTTGAACTTGGGGCGGCATCACAAGAAAATTGGTCACCAAGAAGAACACGTTTTCTCCCTAGGAGGTAAGTTGAAGCATTAATCCCTGCTTGGCTGCCTTCACTGGACAAGTCAGAGGCCAGCAGCCTGCTGTTTGAGGGCACTGGACTCAGGCCCAGATAATCACCAATGCTGCCTCCCCCAGGGAAATGCTTCCTAAAAGGCAGGCTGAGGTGGGGGCTAGGAGGCTGGCTGGGTTCAGGGCCATTTCTAAGTCCAGGGATCCTCAAGCCAGGACTCTTCTTTGAGATGAAGCTATTTCCTTTCATTCAAACTTCCTCACTCAACTGAAATTCTCCAGAAGCCTCTTGCTTCTAGATACTGGAAATCCAGAGCTAAGGTGGGCCTGACCCCTGCCAGGAGAGTCAGAGGGTAACCAGGAACATGGAGAAGTCTGACCACAGGGCTGTAGGGGGAGCTCTGCATGCCTCAGAGTGCATGACCAGGGAAGGTGGTGAGGGAAGAAAACAGTGGAGGGTATTGTAGTGGCCAGCAGCATGTGGCGGCCTTGGTAGTAGTCATTATGGAGGGCAGCAGTGACTGGCACCATCCTAGGCTGGCTGCTGTGGACACTATACCTGGGATGGGCATGGCCAAGAGGGGAAGTCAGGGACTCACTGAAAATCCACAGCTTCATCCTAGGCTAGCATGGGCAGTAGTGAAATGTGTCACTGTTAGGCTGCGGAGTATCTCTCCTTCCTTCCTTTTCCAGAACAGCCACAGAAATGATCAAAGCCGCAGCTGCAACTCCGTTTATCTCTGTCAGAGCTGCAAAACTATTCCACCTCCCTTTTCCACAAGCCCTGACTTGCTCCCTTATCTTGTACCAAGCAGTTGTGAACATCTTAACTTCCCAATTTCCTTGTAAGACAATATAAAATTCCACTCTAAGTAGCTGCTTTAAAGCCAGCCTGGCAGTTTCCCTTCAATAAACTGTCTTTCTTGGTCTGAACTGAGTTCTGTCCTTCCTTGATGACCTTACAGTCAGAAGATGTGTTTAACGTGAGAGACAGAAAGGTGTGCAGGCCATATCCCAGGTCTAATTTTGGCACTGGTGGATGTCACAGCCCTGAATGCATGAGGAAAAGGCAGCAATGGCCAGGATATGCCTCCTCTTTGCACATGTTACAGCTGGGAGGGTCTCAGGGGCTTAGGGGTTTAGGGAAATAGAACCTGGGGCTACCATTTGGGCATCAGCAGAATAGAGCTCACTATGCTGAGGGACGAGGGCACTCAGCGGCCGTAGCCCAGGGCAGGAAGGGAAGAGATAGAGCACAGGACCCCCAGTCCCTCCCAGCCTCCCCCTAGCTCAAACCTGCAGTTGCTCCCAGACATTCCATTCCCTCCTAGATGCAGACCTTCCTGCCTGGCTTCCTGGGGTCCTCTCACAGGTTCCCTGTCCCCCAAGAAAACTCCTACTTGTATCCGAAAGCCCTGACCAGGCATTACCCCAAGGAGATCCCAATGTTGGCACCTTAAGCTCTCAGACACACTCAGGAGCCTAGAAGGCAGTGACAGAGGATCTGAGGTGAGGACAGGGCCTGGCCACCAGACCCAGGGCTCACCTGTGGCGGCTTCACAAAGTCAGCCACATCCCACAGCCGGTTCCCTAGCTCCTTGATCTGTGTCACAGAAACGCCTTTGAGTTTGGTGATGATGGCAATTTGAGGGTCCAGGTCCCGTTCCTGGTAGCCTTTTCTGGCAAGAAGGGCCCACCTGGGGAGGAAGAACTGGGCAGTGTGGTGTATGCAGGACACATCCATCCCTCCCCACAGTCACATCCTTGTCTTTTCTCCCACACATTCTTCTCGTTGTCTTCTGCTCCAAAACTCTGGGCCAGATGACAGTGCTCTGCGCAGAAATGGCCCCACCACCACCACCACCCTGGCCCTGCCAGGCCCAGCTCCCTCCTAAAAATTCTCCTGGCCCCAAGCTGGAGTCAGTCTTCTCTCGGTGGGCAGGGGGCTCAGCAAACAGCCAGCACAAGGGTCCAGACTGCCTCCTGGCCTGCTGTGCTGCCCCCCCGCCCCAGGTTAGGGCAGGAACTGCTCTGCTTTGTGCTGGGCACTAAGGGGCAGGTGGGCAAAGGACCAAGCTCTTAGTTCACTTTCATATGCTGCCAGCCCCTGGTCAGAGGGATACATTCTATCTATCTGCACCCACCCAGTCACACCCTCCAGTTAAGCCCCTAAAGAGCTCAGGGTCCAAGCTCTCCAATCACCTAGCAAAGAGCACGTATCTTACCCCACCACATAGACTGCAACCCCAAGCTGTAGCAGCCTCTGCAGGACACCCACTCGCCAGTTCCTGGTCATCACATACTTCTCCGTTTTGTAATCCAGAAGCCCCCAGCCAGCCACGGTCCTGAGGGCACCCATGCTGCCTGTGCCTGCAGCATACTACTTGCCAGGACACATGAGTCAGCACAGCAGCTGCAGGCACAGCCTGCAGCATCCAAGCCGGGACAGGCTTGTGGTTATTAAAGGGACACTTGCACACGGCAGTCTTCAACCTCTACCCTCAGCCCTGGGTGCAACCCGTAGCCCCATCTTCTCCGGATTCCTCTGCAGGCCCTGGGCACTCAGGGCATCTGACAGCACCCTTACACCTGACCTCTGGTCAGAGGTCCCTCTTTGAGAAGGGAGGCTGATAGAGCTAAAGTTTCCTCTTTGTCCCAAGCAGAGAACAATGCAATAACTTAAATGCACACTGGAGTCAGCGAAATAAGGGCGAAGGCGAGCTTCAAGGAGAGGCTGAGAGACTGAGTGTTCTTAAGGCTCCCAGACACTGCGCACGTGGATCGTTCTGTGCAGTTAGCTACAGTGTGCAAAGTTCCCGGCTGGAGGTGGCCCGAGGCTACTTCTGCAGCAACAACAACATTGGTTACCCGGGAGACCGCCACGCGGAGCCCTGCGGCGCGCTCCTGTTCTTGGGAGGCTGCGCCCCTATTGGTGGGTACGTCCGGAATCCGGCTCACTCCCCTAGGTGTGCCCAGCTCACGGCCCCTGTGCGCAGGTGCATCAAAGGGGTGTAGCCCTGGGAGGTTCCCTGCAGGACACCTGATGCGAAGAAGGAGGCAGCAGGAGGTCTTTCAGAGGCCAGGGAGGTGGAGGAGAGTGTGGACATGGCTTCGAACTCTGACCAGAAAACGGAAGATGCCCTTGAGCTGGATAGATCAGGCCTAACTCCTTATTTCTAGGGCCTCTTCTAAGACGGAACAGGCTATGGCCGAGTGGGTGGGGATCCTTGACTAGCTAAGACCCCACCATCAGAGCACGCTACCAGAATAATTTTAGGATGCAAGAACTCTGCAAAAATGTGAAAGAGGTATTCCAGCCTGAAATGGATTCAGGACTGGATTTTCTCAACACAGAAAAAGAAGCTGAAGAATGTTGTTGTTATTGTTAAGTGCCAGCAAGTTGAGTACAACTCACAGGGATCCTATGAAGAGCAGACCTGAACTTTGTCCTATCTTGTGCCATCCACATCATCTTTGACACACTTGAGCCCATAGCTGCATTCACTGTGTCAATCCATTTGGTTGAGGATTTTCCTCACTTTTACCCTCCCTCTACCTTTCCAAGCATGATGTCCCTCTCCAAGGAATGGCCTCACCTAGCTACATCCCCAAAGTATGTGAGGTGACACTTTGTCATCTTTACCTCCAAGGAGCACTTTGGCTACACCTTCTCCAAGATATAATCTGTTCTTTCCACCCGTTCACGGGATATTCAACACACTTCTCCAGTATCTGTCTTCTGTCATCCTTATTCATTGTCGAACTCTTAACTACATAGCAACTGATTGGAAAGACCATAGCCTGAATAAGGTGCACCTTAGTTCTCAAACTGGCATCATTGCTCCTCAGTAATTTGGAGAGGTCCTTGCTGAAGACTTTCCTAGTGCCTTATGTCTCCTGATCTCCTGACTGCTGTTATCAAGTGTATTGATTGTGGATCCAAGTAAGATAAAGTCATTGGCGGTTTCATTGTTGTCTATCCGTCCAGTGGTGAGAATTTTTGTTTCCGTTTTCTGGTCAGAGTTGGAAGCCATGTCCACACTCTCCTCCACCTCCCGGATATTGTTGTTAGGTGCATGGATATTAGCATGGGCTCCAACTCATAGCAACTCTTGCGTACAACACAACAAAACTTTGCCTGATGCCGCACCATCCACAATAATCTCTCCAGAACTAAAGAAATGAATGGATAAAATTTACAATTGTTTCTGCCTCCTCTCCCAAAGTGTGCACAGATTATTGGAGACAACTGTCACCTTTCTAACATGCTTCTGTTTTGGCATCAAATAGGCCAGATCCTTGTCCTTCTATGCTACCTCCCAGTAGTGTTGCCTTCTTAGAGGGGACTTGCTTTTTCAGAGCCTTGATGCTCTCAGGCACAATATGGAGGCTATTCCTTGCAGAGGGACATCATATTTGGAACGATGGAGGGTCAGCAAAAGAGAGGAAGACCCTAACTAGATGGATTGATACAGTATATGCTGCAGCGGGCTCAAGTGTATCAGAGATGATGAGGACAGCACAAGATCTTTTTTTCATGCGGTTGCTGTGAGTCATACTCTACTTAACAGTACCTAACAACAACAACACTTGTATTGGAGTTCTGGTGGCCTAATGCATAGTGTTTGGCTGCTAGCTTACAGCTCAGCTTGTTCAAATCCATCATCAGCTCCATGGGGTGAGGATTGACAGCCTCAGAAACCTGGTGGCCATTATGAGTTGGATTCCACCCCATGAAAGTGGGTTTTGGTATTCCCCACTGGAAAAAAAAACCCAAAAAACAAAACACCCTGGTAACAGAGTGGCTAAAATGTTTGGCTGGAAACCTAAAAAGGTAAGTAGTTCAAACCTCGCAAAGGCCCTGTGGAAGGACGATGTGATAGGCTATTTATATAAAAATTAGAGTTGTGAAAAGTCTTTGTTATTCCCTCTCTGGCAGAGTCACTATGAGTTGGAATCAACTTGACTACAAAAAGTTTATGAGTATCCCAGAGATTGTGAAGATGGCACAGAACAGAGTTCAGATCTGTTGTTCATAGGCTTGTCATGAGTCATAGTCACCTTGCTGATACCTAACAACAACTACTGGTACAGACACATATTCAGGGGTGGTGATGGAGGCCAGGGATAGAGCAGATGACTGTGTCCAAGGTGGAGTCCATGTTTGTCCCTGTCTTCTCCTAGACACTGTGAGCTTGCAAACCTTGTCAAGGGGCCTTTCTACCTGAAGCCTCGAAGAGCTCACAATATCTTGATTGCTTCCTGCTTTGGGCACCAAGGGAACACTCCAGAACTGATGTTATGGCACTGTGGCCTGGGGCCCGGTACTTCTCAGGGACCCTGGGAGGCTGGCTCAGTGGAGTGGAGGCTAGCAGCTTTGGGAGGGCCTGTTTTCTCCCTGGGGGTTGTTCTGTATCCATCCTTTGACTCTTGACCTTCTTCTGTGTTGCCATGGCCCCTCTCCTACATCTGGAGCCACATGTGAACAAGGCTATGGCAAAGGTAGACACTATGGCAAGGGTAGATGTTAGAGCTGGGGAGACTGCATGCCATGCTAGGGAGTCAGGAAGGGCACTATGAGTGAGGTCTGGGTGGAGCCTAGGAGGAGAACTCTTGTGTCCTCAGCAACACTCCAGAATGGCCACCCACTCAGTGATCATAGAGAGGAGTGGGGCTTGAGGACAGCAGCCAAGGTCACGTCCAATTGTGTCTTCTCTGGTCCAGGGGGACCAGAATCAGGCTTCTGCATTGCTTTCCAGCCCCAACATCAAGCACCTAGACTTTCAGGACAATAGCTTTGTGCCACAGGAGCAAAGACCCTGGTCAGGATCCTTAGCAAATACAGCATCTCTGGTAGGTACCAAGCAGGGGAGAGGAGTAGACTTGAGTCTTTTCTTGCCTGGACATATTGGGTCTGATAGTCAAGGTTCCTGCTAGTGTTAGGTGCTATAGGAAAGGCTCTAGGGATGGGGGGGGGAGGATAGGGTTAGACCTTCTGAGGTACACCCATGCTGGGATCCTCTCCTGGCCTGCTCCCCTGCACACCTCTCTTCATCTACATTGCCTCATAGACTTCTTTTTTTTCTTTCCTTTTCTGAAAATTAATTTTAATGAAAGTTTACAGAGACTTTGGATTTCCATTTATTCATTGTTGCACTTTTCTCCCTGCCCAACCTCCCCTCCCCTAGTTCACTCTTCTCTTTGAAAAGTAAAAGAAAATTTCATTGTTATACAATCCCTCCCCAGAAGTCCACTCCACAAAGCAGCCTTCATTCTGGACTCCTGTCATGACAATAATACCTAATAACATATCCCTTTTAAACAGTTCTATCCATCACCTGTTTAAATGAAGTATGCATAATTTATCCCATCTTTCTTAGTCTCCCCCCAACCGAAATGTCAGTCCTGTTTTACAACAGTGGCACTATGCAGTATTTGTCCTTTTGTGACTGAGCATATTCACTCAGCAGGATTACCCATTTTGAATGATATTTCATTAGTTCCTTGTTTTTCAGTGCAGCGTAGTATTCCATTGTGTGAATATACCGGAGCTTCTCTATCCATTCGTTTGTTGATGGGCACTTAGATTGTTTCCATTCCTTGCTATTGTGAACAAAGTCATGATAAACATGGGTGTGCATATATCTGCTTAGGTGGCGGTTATGGTTTCTTTAGGGTAAATTCCCAGTAGTGGAATTGCTGGGTCAAATGGTATTTCTATTTGCAACTTTTTGAGAAAGCACCATACAGCCTTCAATAGTGGTTGCACCTGTTACAGACCAAGGGTAAAGAATTTTTTTTTGAGGGAGGAAAAAAGGTACTTTTCCGTTTGAAAGCCACAGTTTATCTTTCTATAATTAGATTAGGAGAAAATGAAGAACACACTGGTAGCAGGAAGAAGCAGAAGTCTTCTTAAGTCTGGCTTTTGATGAGATATTCAGTTACTCTGCACTTCCATTGTTTTTCCATGGCAGAACATATGGCAGAGACTTGGGAACTCGCATGCCTGAAGCCAGGTTACTCTTATGTTCTGTAACTATGCTGGTTACAGGGCTGTTGTTGCCACAGTAGTTGGCTGTGCCCCAGACAAATGGGGTACTGGTCTGTTCTCACAAATCTTTATCCCAGTCTTCATCGCAAGGAGGACACTGCCATGTGCTCTCAGTGAGAGTCTCTTGTCCAAGGTTCCTTGTCTGGTTGACAACATCCTGCCAATACAGCTCTTGTCATCACAGCTTGAGATATGATGACTGATTTCAGCCCGAGGAGCCTGGTGACAAGCATCGAAGGGACAGGTGGCTAACTTGTTTGCGACATCAGGATGATTCTTTCTGCACTTGATAAGATGATAAGGAAACC